TAATTGAAATGTTAGATAGATTGTAGAAAACTTCATGAAAAAAGGAGTGGTTAATCTAGCAGAACAGAGATGGCTATGAGTTAGTGAGTATTTATCACTTTTTACTCTCGACATGTCGCAGCGACTATGCAGCGCTTGTTGCCCATGATAAGCTATGACCGTCATAAATTTCTCCCGTTTACTTCTCTTTCATAGCAGCCCCACCCTCTAGACAAAAGCCTCCCTCCAAAAAACACGGTAAAGCCTGCGCAGAACGAAGTCTATTGGACTCTCTGTTGGAGTTCGACCAATTCCGTTCTTCAAGACGACATCCAACCGCGACTCGCGCTGGATGGATATCACTAGATGCCGAGTGCATGGCGCGTCCCTGCTCACATCCGATATCTCCTATATTTCCTGTTCCGTGGAATATAAGCCTGGGACGCATCAAGACATTTCCGTAAGGGGCTGGCTGAAATGACATGGAGAAATCTCATGTTTAGACGAAATGCAATTTATCTTACTAAAACTTTTTACACATATTTTTTCATGTTGGAACATTGCGGTAATGTTCACAGTTCCCAGAAAGAGAAGTGCATGTGAATGTTTCTAGTTCTTCACAAATCATCTAGGAGAAAGTCTTCGGTTCGGAATAAAAACAGCCCGTCGAGAAAGATGCTCGCCGCGGTCCTCAGGCAAAATTTCCGGCGGGTGTCATTTTTGATGCAGTTGTTTCACCAAATACCTTCAATACCAGTGAAAAAAGAATAAGGGTCACATTCAACAGCGTCCCATTCCTTTCCTGAATGGATGCTTTTGTAAACATTCATATCTACTAAGAGAATGAACTCTCGTGTTCCAACAAGATGCCTCTTCCATTTGCCGTATGAGTTACACTTACTCTGTTTCTGAGAATCAGAAAGGCGTCAAGTTCAGACCATACAACACACGTGGCAACGGCCTTCACAGAACGTGGTTGTTTTCTACCAGTAGTGATTAGCCGGTTGCAGTTATTCTATTAGTTGTTACTGATTACAACTACAGCTTTCCTTGTGAGCCAGTAGTCTCAGATTTACTTGGAGGCCGTCACTCGTGTTGTGTGGTCTGCACTCGACGCGCTTCTGTTTTTTTTCTGTTTGCGCAAGGTACTTCTCGTGTGTTGCATGAGTTCAGTAATTTTCGTAACGAGCAAATCGAGGAACACAGAAATCTTCCTTCCAGTTAGTTAGCCCTCTCCAAAAAAAAAGATGCAACCATTTTAAATAGTCTCGGATTGCAAATTCCCTGACTTACGATGCCCTTCGAAGTCGACGTATGCGTTGCAATCGTAATCACTTTGATATCATATCATGCTCTAATGTAAAAAGGACTGTATTTGATGGTAATTGGATCCTTCCACAACGCATCGCTTGACCCTGGTTTAGCTTGCATGTAGAGAGCATTGAAAGGAACCTGTCGCAATTGAACCCTAGAGGCAATTCTCTCTTTTAGCGAAGTAGTAGGGCCACTATCCACAGAGATAGTGATATTGCCATGACTTGAATGAGCGCGACAAGGATGCGAACCTCTTTGCTCAACTGCTGCTACCGCTGCCATCCTTATCATTCGCAGCTTAGTGACGTATGCACCCTCTTGCGTATGTACGGAATGCTCACTCGAGCTCTTTCTCTCCTCGCAATGCTGTGTCTCTTCGTCCTGCTACCGTCGACCTTACAAGAGAAATTTCAGTGTTTTCTATGGTGCTTTTTGCTTTTCAGACCAATAATGTTCCTCTCCGTCCTCCTTGTCTATCCTCCAATGCAATGACCAACCTATCCAATCGAATCCGTGCCTTCAATGAAATCTTGTCGTTTGTTGCCTTCTTGAAGATCCTTATCGACGACAATTTCTGGCATACGGGTCCTTCCAGAAGAGCACAAAACGTCTGCGATTGAGAGAGGCCCTCTCGAGAACTCAAAACTCGAACGAAATTGCAGCTCTGTGATGGTATAAGAAGACAATGGTTTGCTTTGCGTCAGCGTGATTGCTCCGCTCCCACTGTTGCATTATTCCTCCTATTTCGGCGATTCAATTTCTATCTTATTCGTATGAATTTTGAAGTTCTTTAGCATGTATTTTGGAGAGTTCTCCGCCTGTCGGGTTCTCCGCCTATCGGTCAGCCATCAAGGTGGCAAAATAATGACGCTATTCGTTATCAAACATTCCCTAGACAATGATAGACCGATTTTTTGATAGGTATCTGAAGACTCAGTGAAGTGACCGTATGTTTCAGCTTGTTTCATTTCCAACCGTGTACAGTCTAGTCTTTCTCATTATCCTGAATTTTCATTTTTTTGCAACTTTTTCTCAATTGCAACACTCTAAATTCTGCGGATGCCAGATCTTATGTTGCGCCGTAGTGTGTGGCATCTCCAGCAGGGTCAATCACCAAAAGCGCAAAGGCCGGGGGGGGGGAAGGTTCGGTTTGGTACACCGTTCGAGCCCAAGGTGGTCGTCGACGGATCATGGTCCATTGCGACGTCATCCGTAGGCTGGTCAGAAGGGGTCTTGCATATTGCCCTTAGGAAGCAATTTCTCACTGATCCGATTGAAGAAATTTCGTAGCAGCTTCAGAGTGGAGCGATCACTACAGCTTTTCTTAAGCTGAACGGTAATTCAAGATGGCGCCATATTTTGTGGACAGCGAGGGCAGTAAAGAGGACCTGCTTATGGGAGCACATCTAAGATATTTTGACGTAAAACTTCCATTAACAACGGCACCCTGTGCGGCGAAAAGTTGGGCGGGAGCGAAATGTCTATTTTTTGGCAATCTCTGTATTGGGGGAGGGGGTAAGCGAAGGAATCAACGGCACAACACAAATGTTTTACGGCACAGCAGTAAAAGGAACTTCAAATGCAACTTATAACCGCATACGACTTCATAGCGCATCTCAGAGCTGAAGTTGCTGCAAACGCTTCACATTTAGTTGACACGAGCAGAGAGATTCTTTCAGAAGAGAGGCGAAACTTTCAGGCTAGACCCAAATGCAGAAAAAGTCTGTGAGTCCGCCGGAACGAAACGATTACGAAATTTTTGCGTGAGAAAAGTTTTCAAAACAAAGCTTTTCAGCAGGGATCCAGAATGTTGAAGTTCGATACACTGGTGGTTTTTCATGGTTTTCGCGGCATCAAACAGAAACGATTTCGAAGAAGGCAGTGACCACAGAAGTTGAAAATTCTCATCGGAGCTCTTTCAAAGAGTCTAATTTTGCAGTGTCTCTTTCCCGAGAGCCATGCAGTATCTCGATTTCACAAAAGCCTAAAAACAGGAAACCAGACGAAAAGCTTCTCGAGAATTACACAATAACCTTCCTCCCCACTCCCCACCCCTTCCCCACGCACCCCCTTTTCACCCCACACCCCCTCCTCCCGCCCGCAGAAGAGCAAAACGGATTATTTCACAAACGAGCAATTCTTAGAGCACTTTTAGCATTTTCCCGAAACCATAAATCTCGTAATTACTTCATGGTTTGGTGACTTGCAAAAACTTTTTTGAAGGAGGTTAGTACTGTTGGACGATTGAAAACTCACACAAAAAAAAGAAAAAACTAAAGCTGTACACAAAAAGTGCCCAACGGTGCGCTTATAAAAGAATTGAAGTACATGAAGAGCTAAAATACTTTTGAGAGGAAAAGAAAAATTTTTGTTTTTTGAAATGTTCTGACCGCTTGGAGGACCGCCCGCATTCGAGGGGTCATGACCTCCTGAGAAGGGTGCATTTAATTGGAACTTTGTGCCTTAAAACCACGAGTCGAGAGTACGTTCCGAGAAATATTTCCCCCCGCCCCCACGAGAGAGAGAGAGAAGTCCTTGAGCGCAAGGGACGCGACACTGTTCCGTCTTAATGCGCGAAAGGGCGTTTAAGCCTTGCCTTGTCTGCTACCGTGTTGCCATCCTTGCCATTCGCGGCATTCGTGGCGTCTGCGCCCTCTCGAGTGCGACGTGCTCTCTCGCGTTTTCCCTCACCTCGCGCGCTGTGCCTCCGGGTAACACCACGGCCAACCTTGCAAGGGGAATTTCAGTTTTTTTTTCCTATCGCTTTTTGCTTTTTCGCTCCAAGAATGATCCTCACAGCACTTTATGTCCAATTTTCGAACAAAATAACACACCAGTTTGATTCCGACTCGTGCCTTTACCATCATAACAAATGAGGTTTTGAAAAATCGGGAAAATGATCTACGAAAGTATAGCTCGTTGATCAACTCCATTTTTGGATACGCCACGCATTCTACTTCCATACAGAATCGTAGCAGCATTTTGAATGTGATTGGGTCTGTACAGTCACTCGCAAGCATTCCCAGTAAGGTCCCCGTACCGTGCCACATGGTTTTACACCCTTTCCACCTTTAAAACGCCAAAACTCATGTGCTGGTGATAAATATAAATTGATGTTATTGGTGTTGAACGATTCGTTCGCTGGCGTTTGCCATACATACAAAACCCACTCTAAATAAAAATAGATCTTATTGAGACCCCCTCAAAGCGTGATTTCTTTTGCATGATGGCGGCCTTTGGGGTAAGTTCATCCAAATAAACACTGCCATGGACGCTGGCTCGTTCGAAGCGGGAACCAACGGGCAGAATGGGAAACCCATTTTGTACGTTTGAAGTCTTTTCTCTTTGCTCTCCTTTCACTATGGCACTACTCAACTCTACGTTTCATTTTAAACGACGAGCACTTTACCGTACCATCCAGCTATAATGCTATGACGTAGTAGAACAAGGAAAGCCGAGAAAAAACGATGCAATATTCTCAACATGTTGGAAGTTTTACCGCTGATACCACCATATGTGCAACATTTACTGACTCAGCTTATTAAACGCTTTCTATTTCAATTGGAAATTTTATCTGCCTTATTCAATGGACAGGGTCTGCGGGTGCCGCGGCGTTCTCGGCCTCTGAAATTCTCGTTGAAAAAGTGTTGTAAACAGTATAAGTTGTTACTACTGTATTATTTTAGGTTCTAAGTAACTCTGGAGGAATGGGAAGTGAAGCCAAATACTATCTACAGGAACATTCCATTCCACAGTTATTCGAGGTGATACAGTTGCAAATATAATTAGCTCATCCTATTCGGCAATGTCTGAGGTAAAAGAAAGTAGTGGGAGTCCCTAAGTTGATAAAACTGTTGGCAATTTTCTTGGTATTTTTGAAGGAATCCATCTCTCAACTTGAGGTCATGTTTGTACACACGAAGTTATAGTAAGGAAAACATAATAAAATGGAGGTTTGACTCAACACTTCCGCACCATTTGAAACAGGAACTTTTTGGTTGTCTCTGATGGCATTAGGTCTTTTGGAAGCTTTTCTGGTTATTCAGCTCATGCCTCGAATGCAGTTACCTAACTCAGAGAGAACGTTTTAAATCGAAATTCGAAACATCAGGCCGGTGTCAGATACGTGAGTCCAGCGTATCACTCCCGCTAATTTCCCAGGCACGCGAGGGCGTGAGAAGATCGGCGAGTAGCGGAGTCAACGTGTGAACATGAGGGGTTTTTGCCACTCCACTACACTCGTGAATTGCTGGAGCATAACCTCAAACCGCTCGTACCCCGTGATTCGCTGGGATCACAAGGTCTGACACCGGTCTTACGACCTGACATCTCTGTCAATAAGATAAAAGTTTGACCAGCCGGTGGTGGAGTTTATAGCGGCACTGAATTCGGCCAAAGTCGGGTCGGTCGAAGTTGGGCATCAAAGCATTCATGAGAACCCAGACCCAGATGGGGTCGCGCAAATTTCGTCGTCTGGCTATTCCAGCTTGAAGGATGTGCAGCGTAAAAACCTGCTGAAGAAAAGTTGAGCTCTTTATGATGACCACTGCTTCGCAAATGTGAAAGGCGGATGTTACGACAAAATCTTCGCTCATTGGAGATGAACGTAGAGGTGGGTGTGCCACTGGTCAAAAGAATCCGAGAGAAAACGCCTCAAAACCCTCGAACGGGACCCTTTCGATCCCTTTTGACTTCCGCTTCGGAAAAGCGAGTGACTAAACCGAGCCTTTGCACGTGTTAATCCCGATCATCGTTGTCATGTCAACAATTGTCATCCGTTTATTGAAGGCAATATTCCGGATAAAATAGGTATAGAAAAGCGTTCAGTTATGAAGATAGAGGTGGAAGGCGGTGTGGAAAAGGAAAGGAAACCAAACGAAACCACCGATCACGCCCCGTACTGAGAAATTTCCTATTTCGGCCGCATGCCAGCTCGGAATAGAGAATGGGCGCGTTGGACGAGTTTCACGGACCTAACTCTAGTTGCTCCAGCGACAATGACACTTGGACGCAACGGGACTGCTGACTAAAATGTGCCCTCAAGCAGCGCCACTTGGCAACGGACAACGGAGGGAGGGGCTTGCGGACGAAGGTGCTCCTTACGGCCTTGTCGCGCAAAAGGGGCGCGGCATCACGCTTGTCCGCTCGTCCAGTACCCCCGGGATGGAACAAGCGACCGCCTAATCCTGTGCCTTCAACAGCGTGCCTTTACAATGTATTACCTAGAAAAACTCACAATACAGCCGCTTGAAATGAAATTCCCTTCCAAAATGAGAAGCAGACGATGACTTATTAGCAGCACCATTCGACTACTAATAGCCCGAGCCCTCGTTCCTGGAGGTGGGCTATGCCACGGCAAGTGGCACTCGCCAGGACTACGTTCAGTTAAGTGGCGAACACTCTTCGCCGTGTGTCATGCCTCTAGTCGCTTCCTTCCAGGTCTGCCGTCTTTTGTAAAAGGCGTAGTTCTCACTCGTTCACAAGATATCGTAATATCCTCTCTTGAAGGTAAATCTTGTAGAAATATGTCGTACGTGTGACTAATGCACACGAATTGGAAACTAGAGGTGCGACGAGAATCAACAGTGAAGAGAAAACCAAAAAAAGACATTGAAAGCAGTGGAATCTTGCGCTTTCAGGTTGAGGCGAGGGAATTTGCGAGAGAGTACGCTAGGAGAGAGGGTGCGGACGTTCCGCTTTTAGCGAACGATATTTGGTGAAGAGCAAGTCTCTCACTCCCTTATCGTGCACTTTCCCCAAGGATCTGTAGGCTGCTCGTTGGGGGTTCTGTAGGTTCTGTGACTTCCATGAATAACTCTATCCCAATCACCAGCCGGTTTCATAAATGTGTCGTTTATTGTACCTTCAAGCTTTGAGTAAATTTTGACATTTGTTGGTAGTACAGGGGGAGGGCAAAAAAGGTTACTTCGCCCATGGCGCACATCATCAAATTTTTCGTCGCACAGGATGCCGTTGTTGATGAATGTTTTACGGTATCAGTACGAATTTATTTCACTTAACAGCACACGAGGTTGATAATATGATTCCGTCGGCGTTCGGTTTTACGGTATGTTCCTTAGGTGCTCCCTCCCACCCCTTAAGCAGAAACAGGCATTCCTTCACTGCCCCTACCGTCTTCAGAATGTGCCGTCTCTGCAGTCACCGTCGAGCTCAACGAGGCTTAAAGTAATCGCCCCGGCCGAGGCTGCTACATAATTTCTTCATTGGATTAAGTGGTAAATAGCTTCTCATAGACACAACTATGAATATGCAAGACCGTTTTTGAACAGCGTTTAATAGATGTCGTAATGGTACCTCGACGATCTCATCGAGCTCGTACCACGAATCATATTTCCGTAGGAAAATCTTCTAATGTCGTCGGTGCAGAAGGCTCTTATGTAAACTTTTGATAGATTGAAATGTGCTCTTCAATATTCAGTTGGGCTCATTTGGTTTGGTTTCGCAACACGTCATTAATTCCGTTTTGAGTGGGGGAGAGAAGTGACTTTTTTGCTAACCCCCTCCCCCTCCCTCCCCCTGTATTTTCCGTTGCTGTTGTTTGATCCACAAATGGGAAGCCGAACTAGCCCAAAAGCACATGTGAGACTACCATCATGATCCACCCTTTTCTTTGTGCAGCTACAGCTTCGGGAAGAATTCTGGAGCTCGATGCTCTACTAAAAGAGGCTTTTCAAACGGCTATTTTCCTGGAAAACTCACTTGCCGACTTCCCGTATCTTCCAACCACGAGGGTGCAACTAATACATCATCAACGTCCAGTTCGGAATCAAGCTCTTCACAATTCTATTCAAAACATTTAATGCCAACTTTCGGTATCCGGCTGCGACTATCATAAAGTTTCATGATCTGGTCTACGCTAAAAACAGTATAAAGCACCACTAAATAATCAGGCGAAAGAATTTCGCGCCATCGAAGTCTAGTTGAAATATGAAACTTGTGCAAATTCGCCTTCAAAATGCTCTGAGGCTTACCTTTATGACGCTGTGGAAAAGTGGCGGACAGCACGACAAGGAATAGATCTTTTCTGTAAGCCCGACCACTACCGCCGTGCCTTTGCTCATTCCTCCATAACTCAAAAAACCAAATGACAGATTCGATGACAGATTTGAAAACAGCATTCGAAAGCACATTCAGGGGTTTTCATTACCCTGAGTAGTCATGGCGATCTAGTGCCGTGCCGTCGTGAGTCCAAGAAAAAACACTTAGAAGAAACGGTGGTTCGAACATGTAATAAAAGGTTAGAAATCCAAGAAGGTAAACATGAGAAAGTCTAGCATATGAATACAAGCTACACCTACCTAAAATGAATTGCAGAATCCAGTGTTTCAGGGTCTCATGAGTGGCTTGATATACAACCGACCCGACGAACCGCTAAGGTTTTTGGAGACGGCAATAGCTCAAATACGTGCAAATCCTGAAGAAGAATACAGATGGGATATGTTCATCGACAAACGAAAAGGTAGTATTTGATGTGTACACTGATTAATCCATTCCACATGCTCAAACCACAAAAAAGAAAAACAGCAGAGCGGAAATTTTCCAACTTTTTTTTCATAGCCAATGCCTTTTCACTTTTTGTCAAATATTTTTGATTATAGTGTCATTAAGTGTCTCATCCCAATATAAAACGCTTGTATGCAATCTCACTGAGGGATTAAAGGCAAGAATCGAATTACACTGCTGGGTTGATTCCACTCAAATGTGAAAGTAGAAATGAGAGGTGGACCGTCAATGGAGTCCTGACATGCACAGGAAGTACGAGCATTTTGCTCAATGCTGTGGAGAAGTTCAAAAGAGAGGGAGGGAGATGAGAGATAAAGTGAGCGCAGAGGGTGGTAAAGAATTTCGAGAAGAGAGAGCATAGCAGATCAACGCAGCAACGCAGACAAGACATCTATCGGTGGGCGGACCATATTATGTTTGGTGGAGTCTGAAGTTCATGGCGCGGCAGTGATGTGGTGGCAAGTGGCGGTGCTTACCACGCGCGCGATTCGGGTATCGAATCCTTAATCGTGCGTCGTGCGGGCCAACCAAGCCTTTCGTGCCTCCGAGATTGGTTAATTGGTACCAAGGATGAAAACACTGACTTGTGCATCGGCTGGCTCCCGCAAGTGTTGTATAGGCCAAATCACATACAAGTGCCACTACAAATGCACAAATGGAAGTAGAATGCGTAAAAGGGGATCGATTAACGGCAGATGCTTTATCCTTTATTTTGCTTCAATAAGCGCCAGAGAATAGGAGGCTCCTCTCGAGTTAGACAGACCAGCAAGAGCCAGGAGACGTACGGCAGCGGGCGTGCGGGTCCAAGGGTGGCGACGACGGGGTTCCGACAAGCGGTCGTGGTCCTTGCAGCATCTCCAAACACTCCTTCGTTCTCGCACCAACCTGTCGGCCTCCGCCTTCTGTAATCAGTGAGCTCATCGAAGCACCATCGTGGTGACTAAGCTCAACCCCCAATCAATCCCTACGTAACCTCTAACTCATTCAAAATATTGGCGCCCTACCTGCGCATTTTCAGGGGCAAAGTGGTTCGCCTCTGTAAATGCGGACTTAATGCTTTCACTCATGGAATGCTTTCTACTAAAGAGCCTAATTCCTGGGCTTGCCTTCGAATGGGAGCAAAAAAGGTTATTGATGCCGCATGAATGGACTGCATATTGTGTGTATACCAATGCACCATCACCCATGTTTTTGCTCACATTCATGCTCTGTACTGAAACCAATATAGAAGTATTATGCAACTGTGGCACCCTGTGAGATTAAATCTTACCAAAATCCTCAAAAAAATGGCCAAAAAGAACTCAAAAACGACCATTAGCCAGGAGAATGACGGATAATTTCCTTCCCGCCTATTAATACACGCCATGCCTTTGCGCTATGCATCTCCTAATTTGTTTTTGTTGCAAACGGCTGGTAGCCTGAAATCTGTGATATAAAGCAAAAATACGATGTCAAAAATACGATATCAAGAATGACCAAGTAGTAAAAAAATATCGAACGAAATTAGAGGGATTTCGAGTTTCCCACCAGTTCCTTCGATTGCTTGTAACTAGTGCGAATTTTATTCTTACTATTTGTATTAATTCCAATGTTCTTTGTAACGCAAAAATTCTACACCAAAATTTTTCCGTGTAACATTTGAGATAGAAAAAAGGGCTCCATAAAGACACCCGAGCGAATTAGGGAAGTTCCGTATGAAAATTAAGGCAAAATTAAAGCCACGAGTCAGGGTTAAGCGGTCATAGAAGGCTTTTCCATCACCACTATGGCCAGGAGTGCGCTCAGAGGGGTGACACCACGCTCCTGACTCGAGATTGCGCGGCTACAACCTTTAAGACAAATGTTTCGCTATAATTCAATGAGTTTCAAGCAATACACTGTTTCGAAACGTATGAAGTAGGGTCAAAGCTCATTTCAACCAGTAAACCGCTTTAAAAGGGGAATGAAAAATCGATGACGCAAGTTTTTCGCGTATAAAAGTGATTCCCCCAAATGCGCAATGCCATGGAGTTCGAGTAGTTGTTAGTTCATACTGCCTGCTACAATGGTTTATGTTGTCTTATCAACAACCAGGCACTTGTTTCGAGCTGAGTTTCGAGGCAGCTTTTGAGTGAGTCAAGATGAGACAAAGTACATACAAACGCCATTAACTGATATCCGATGACTGATATGAGTTCCTCAGCTCAGATATAGAGGTGGCCAAAAAATGTTACCTGAAGCTCAGAAAGACCTATTTGTGAGAGAGATATCTTTTTCACAGGGAATTTGCTGATACATAACTCAAGAATATTTTTGTGATCGTCTTAACCTCACGTGAACCTCATGTGAACTTCACGAAAAGCTGAGCGGAGGCGTACGGCTCAACAAAAAGCAAAAGCCAGCAGTGAATCAAGCGAATAATGGTCTGACTACTATTATACAAGTGGCAACAAAACTCACGAAACGAAAGCGGGTGCCATGGGTAATATGGAACATAATTGCTCTGCGTTCGATTAGAGCCCGGCACGAAGACTTGAGATATTGCTGCTTTGCATTCTTCTCAACCCTACCTCTGTAAACCAACTTTTCGCACTTCTACTTTTCGTTCACATTTTCAGTTTAGCATTTCTTTTGCGTAACCTAAAACGTTAGAATTTTTGAACACACAAGAGAGAAAGGCAGTGCAGCTTCCTCATCTTGCTACTAATCTGGGTATTTTTAATGTAAAGGCTTCTAATTTACTAAATGATTAGTGCATGAATGATAGCGCTGCGCCCGCGAGTCAGTCAAGTCGAGCTTTTGAACTGACTTTTTTTTACCGGAGCTATACACTCTATAACGGAACATTTCAAAATGGTAAAGGAATTGTGGAGCCGATCACACTCCTCTTCCAGAAGTTGACGTCCTACTCAGCAATTTGTTCCGTGAAAAAAATCGCATTGTTTGTCATAAAAAATTTTCGTCGACACGGCTGATAAACAAAGTTTCGTTGTTGGAATTCATAGTTCTGCGCGTTCAAAAAGCTAGCACACGCCTCAAAATTGCGTATACCCTATCACACCTCCGGAAGGGGCCTTCTTTGTAACCTCTACACCATCGGAAACACATCTTTTGGAGCCCCTTATTCTCTAGTTCTGCAGCTTGCTATAGTAACTGTGACTGTTTTCGTTTTTGCATAAACCTGTTCGTTTGAAAGGAATTTTCTAGGATCAAACTCGTGTGCATCTTGCTCACAAATATTTCAGTATTGTTGCGAAATAGGACAGCAGTAAAATAGGAAAAGAACAAAGCCCCTTGGAAACGATCTAGTCAAGGGCTTCCTCACGTTCGCAATGCCGCTGTATTAGGCAATAAGAGATTAAGGGGGAGTATGGGAGAGGGCACAGATGAGAAGGCGCTAGACAGCAGCCTACTGCGGACGGTGAGAACTGAAGCGGTTGAAGCTGTCTTTCCATGGTCCTAGCGCCCTTGTCGGGCGATTTCCATGCACTGAATGCCACATCTGTGATTGTCTATCGCACAGTTGGAGAAACCGTACGCATTCCTTGTGCTTGAGCTGTGACTCTAAGGGTGCTGCAAACCTGTACATGTGAAGAAATACACAAAACTGTTTATCGTGTAGCTTGAGAGAAACCACCTTTCTATGTATATGTGCCACCTAAATGCGCACCTATTAAGAATTATACCTATTGTGACTCTCTTCTGCTTTACATAAGTCATTACACTCTTCATCGCCGAGGAAAAATTCAGTCTTTACAGGCTTGTGTTACATCGAAACAGTGCGTTTTCTCAGGAGAAGTAAAAGTGCCTTTTCTGTTTACAATTCATGATTAAAAAAAAACAGTTCACAATATATTAGAATCTTGTTTCAGTTACAGTCCAGCTCGGAAACACCTACGCGAAAACACCGAACCGAGAAGTTGCCGCTCCACCAAAGCGCATTGAAGAACAGGAAATGTGGGTGTTATTTGTACTCCGGGCGCTAAATGTTAATTTATTTCTCTTGCGTTCTTAAATATTAACAAAGACTGATGCTCAGAAAACAAAATTTGTACCCAATTTCGTATAGGACCTTTTTGATTCGGCCGTACTCTTCTCACTCCAGGAGCGAGCATGCAGCTCCTCTATTAAGCCATCAGTGCTTTGTGGAGCGGAAACGTGGTACGGTAGTAATCTGGTCTCATCTACTAATTACCATGTGGCCATGAGTTCACGCTAAATTAGAGAAGGCTTATCCGAAGTGTTCTAAAACATCTGGAGGATCTCTGGAACCCATCCGAAGATCACCCGTCAGAATAGCCGAAGTGAGTTCGAACTCACTCGGAAGTAGGGGTAATTCCATGAAGTGACTGTAAGAGGATTGGCAGCGCGGTCATTTGAAAACAAACAATGGTAGATGAATGAATGAATGTGGCCACATCTAAAAAGCCCTGCGGAGGACTTTTTAGGGATGGCCACATTTAAAGGAATCTTACACGGAACATGGACCAGTGGGCGGGGCCGGAAGTTTTTGTGACGAAATGCATCACGTGCCGAACGCACGAATGTGAACAGGATTCACTTCAAACTTTCCCATGAACGTGGATCCCTACCTACCATGCATTTCGTCGCAAAACCACTTCTGGTCCCGCCCACTGGTCCATTTTCCGAGGAAGATTCCTTCAAACTGCCAATGTGCGTGGTTCAAAGGAGGATGTGGAAAAGAAAGGGAAGCGCCTTGCATTGTTACGTCAGTGGTGTAGCGTCTGCGTTCTACGCTTGTTTGGTCATTGGATCAGTACTGCAGGAAGTCCAAAACTTTGCAGTCTTTGTAGGGTAATGCCTTTGCTATACAACTCTTTCAGCATTGATAAATGGGGCTTCTTAGTGTTGCGGTATTCATCTCACTCATGAGACCTTGCATCAAAGGTTCAAGGCTAGCTGAAGCCGGAGCTTCGCAGACAATGTGCTGGATGCGCACCATTTCGCCCACAGCAAATTGCCAGCGGCTCGAGAGGAAAGTTTATGCTGTTGTCCGTACTGTTCATGTTCATCCATGTTCCTCCGTTCCATATCTTCTCCGATAGGGTAAAAGCACCACATTTACTTTACTACCGTCCCTGGTAACTGCGAATATCGGACATCACAAACTTAGCCGTGACACAAGAAAACATGGAAAGAAATGCTGACGTTGACACCTATGGACAGGTGGTGTAGTGGAATAATCAGCTTACTTGTGAAGCTCGAGGACATGATGGACAGAACGGACAAAGGAAGCAAGTAAGGAGCAAGTATTACAGGCCAAAAATACTTGAAATAGAGAAAGACGAATGAGAGTGGAAGATACCGACTTGGATTCCTTACTACTACGTGAAGCGAAGAAGACGACTTCTTGCTATGGGATTCAAAGCAACTCTTGTGCTATCGTTGAGAACTCTCGAAATCAGAGTATAAGTGAAAGCTGTTTACGTCATTGGGATTAAACTTCTTGCGTAACAGTTTCACTGTGGCATATTGTGAAATTTATGGGGATGAGGTCACCTCGTTTGATACTATTCAGCAGTGTGGCAAGCAAGGGAGCTATCATGGAATTTGTAAGAGCCAACTGATGAAATGCGATGTGGTGCACTGGATTTGCCAGGAAAGAGCTAGGGGAGAGCTTATTTTGATCCATCAAGGAAGAAAAAGCAGAAGGGAAGGCACGATTCGAGGGAGGAGGGCCGGACACTGGGGAGTTCATAGAGGATCCGTGAACGTCAAAAAAGTAGAGGCCTCTGCAATATCTTTTGTGTTGCGAATAGGCTTCGGTGCCTGGGCTCTTTATCGTACTATTCAACTAGGATTATTATATTTCTACGTGCAGATGTTAGCCGAAGAGATGGCGCAAGTTTCTCAGAAGGAAGGATCGTATGAGACCTATCCAGTCTTCAGGTACGCCTGAAACCGCCTGCTGTAGAGTCATTTCATGAAAGTTCTAAGCAATCCAGGTAGCAGTTATCAGAAACTGACACACATACACATATTTATTCGTGAACTTCTGCCAAAACTGCTATCATCAGAATGACTTCAAATTACATCTACTGCAATTTATCAGTTGTCTCCAATGAGCAGGATACATATGTACATCCCTTGCATTCGGCGGCTGTATCCTTCTGTGTACCTCAACATACTCTCGTCAATTTTTCCCACACTACCCTTTGATCAGCTGCTGTTAAGTTACTGCGATAAGGGTCACTCACAACGTTCTGATAAATTCTTTGAACGTTGAACTCCATGTTTGCTCCTTGAGCATGAATGTCACGTGGGATGGGGGCGCAGTTAAGGCTGAATATTGGTTTATCAAGTTTACTCCATAATGTGTCCTCATGCATACCATCTCAACTTTATTTGTTCCAATATTCACATGCCGTATAGTGGGACAGCATTCGCTTTGATGAATTATGGGTTTGCGCAGTCACGGTAGTGAAGAAAACAAAACGTCTCAAAGACTGTACTATCAATTGATCATTCCATAGCAGTTAAAAACATGCAAAAGTCAGATCAGCTTTCCCATCAAGTCCAGAAATTTCACATTTTCTTCTATTTTTTTTCGAATTCCTACTTTTTTTGATCGTTCGGAAGTAGCTGTTCGGGTTCGGAAGTATGGAAAGGCGCTATACGTTGCTGATTAGAATGACTCAAAAGACATTAGATATTTGGAATACTGATACGTACAAATAATTTACGTAGTTATAAAAATTAGGTTGAGCAATAATTACCCGCCGCTTTTTTAGGCTCATGGTGCTTTGATTTTATGCTGATTATTTTCAAAGGTTATGATGTAACCTAAAAGCGCTCAATCTCTTGTACATTTTGACGTACAACACTTGTATATTCACTTAACTATGGAGCTTACGCACTACCAAAAAGATTGCCCTTGCTACATCAGAGCAAGATGGGCTCGAAACCGAATGCATCTGCATCTGCTCGTAGAGTCAGTGAAGCCTGGGATGAAGGCACGGTTGCAGAGAGGACTGCCTGAGAGCGCTTGTTGATTACGCGCTTATTGTTGTTTTTGTGGTTTTCTTAACAACCTTATGAGCGAAATGAGAACGGGGTAATTTTTGCTCAGCCTACATATGAAAATGTATGTACATATGAAAATGTACATATGAAAATACACATGTAGCCTTTTTTTATCATAGTTTTCCTCTGTACTAATGGTCGTTTCTAGTGAAGAGATTAATAGTGCCATATTGAGATTGTAACATTTTGCGGTCAACGATTATGCGGATTTTTCTTCAGAAATTCGCGAGAGAAATCTAAAAGTCAACAAGCTAAAGATAAACAAGTGCAGAACACCCCCAGTGTTGGGAGGCGATCTGGGAACGAGATGGGCAGAACGCAACGATCCCCATCTGTAATGAAAGCAGCGGAAGTTGCTCAGATCCCACATGTGCCAGTGATCCTATTTATTGGTGAGTTCCTCGTTTTTATTCGCGATAAAGAATATTTGACAGCAGGACTAATCAAAATTGTTAAGTAGGAGAAATTCTGCAGATATAGCAGCCTCGTAGGGTTGACCATATTTCAGTAAGCAGGGCTCGTCTTTTTGCGGGGTGCGCTGCAGTCTAGAACACGACGGGCATTACAGTTTTCCTGAATCGGAAACCGTAATTCAAAAATATGATTTTGTTAAGGGCACGTCAAAAGCTTACAAACTTTGGGTCTCAGCCAGTTAGGGGGGGGGGTATAGCGATCAAGAGCATTCCAGACCATAGAAAGAATGTACTTTTATTGTAGACGTTTAGGAGAAAGCCTTAGAAGGGAAGGAGCCCCCGGTTCCGTGAGCAATCTTGGTTTTTCCGGGGGTAGCTTTCTCCCCCTTAACAACTTGAGCCTGATTGGCATTAGAGCAGACCGTGCACCGCAATGCTCCCTCCTGATGAGACCCCAAACTTTTTGTTACCCTCATTATTATAGATTCTACTAGTCAACGTTTGCATATTTATGTTGACTTTAGTTTATTTATTCATTATTTTGTACTTTCCAAATAAAATCATGTTAAAAGGAAAGATTATCTCTGTAGAAAAGAATTTGAACCCTACAATCTATCAATACGAAATTGAACTTGTTTCTCTCTGATTAGAACTCTACGGAAGCATTATCATCCAAGGTGCCTAGCGTTGTGGGAGTCAAGCAATCATAAGGAGGATGAAATACCACAAAAACACTTCACAAGAGAATTTGCACTTCTTAAGGACTTCGAGAGCGGATGGCATGTACCATTCAACCGGCATCCAAAATCAAGAAACTACTTTTTCGGGTTCTCGGGTCGGGTCAAATGGAAGTCCGAGTGCAGGTCAGCATCGGTGGGACCTAGCGAATATCATGTAAGGTGTCCCAATAATAAACCATTGTTGAGATTCAAGAGCAGGATGGCCCAACTGGCTTCTGCAAATTAGCGACTGACTGAACCGAGGGCGACACGTAAATTCGTGTTCAGCAATGAGTCGAATTTCTGCTTTTCTGGGACAAGAATATGTGGGCCCTGTGAGGTGTTTTGTCAAAAAGAAACCTCATTTCAGGTATTAGACTCCAAGAGACACAAGGTGGAAGTACAGTCCATATCCGACCGGTTGAGGGGGGGGGGCGGTCCCACGGACGTACCAGCGCTGTGGCCGCGACAACGCGGGGATGGAAGGTTGCCGTATTCCAGTGATTGAGTGGTGTCTGAGCAATCCGTCCTGCCGTCTGCATTCACCAAGCGATGGAGCGATCGCGATCGCTCCATCGCTTGGTCCGTCGCCGACTATGACGTCGGTCTTAGCAGTACGACGCAGCCTTTCCATCTGCGCTCTCGCCACTTTTCCGTCTGCGCGGTCGATCAGTCGAGATTTATCAGCTGTTTTGAGCTGAATCCGACTAGTTCGAAAAAGTCGCTTTCGGTCCCAATGAACAACACCCTTTTGATCAGATGTGGCCTAACTCCTCATG